ATTACCCAACCGCCGCAGTATATTGTTCCACGACATACCAATTATTTTGTTCAAACTACACATCTCAAAAAAAAAAAAATCTCAATCCTTTCTAGTTTGTTATTTTGGGTTTCTATTTTGAATGGTGAGAGAATCAATGGAGGTTACTCAATATCATCAAAGTTTTAATGAAGGTTCAAGTTCTAGGGTTTCCATGAACAAGAACTCACAAGTAATATCCAAGATCAAGCCCAAAATTCGCATAATCCATATATTCGCACCGGAGGTTATCAAGACCGACGTCAAGAACTTCCGTTCACTTGTCCAGAGTCTAACCGGAAAACCGGCGGCCGGAGAGGCTAAAACCGGTAAAAAGAGAGCCAAACCGAGAATTCCGACGTCTCAAGAACCGGTTTGCGGAGATCATCAGCCGGTTAACAGGCTATCGGGTTTCACCGGTTTGTTAGCAAACGGAGGAAACAACCAAGTGAAAGAAGAATGGGGATCAGGTGATCAAAGTACTTCGAACACAAACACTTACTTTGATCTAGAAGGTTTGATTCAAGATGTTGGAGAAGATTACTTCTCTTCGTTTCCCATAAGATCTTCTTCTACTTCACAAGTCGAAGGTTTCATCTTCAACAACAAGAACACCAACATCGATACAAATGGTCAGAATTCTTCCTAATTAACAAGAGTTTAAATTTCTAGAGTTCCTCTGGTTATGCGCGCAATCGCATTGATATGGTAAGATCTAATCGTTTGAGAAATGAAAGCAAATTAAGGAATGAAGTCATGCTTTTTTTGGGAAGAAAGGCAAAGAAGTTGTATATAAAGATCTAAATATTTAATTTGATGAGAAATTGAAACTTTTGGTGGACCGACTTCGCCAATTTAGGTCGAGAGAAATGTAATGAAGAGTTTAATTTATGTGCAGCCCTTCCTGGAGAAGTGACTGTATCTAATTACGTCGGTCAGAAACCCCTAGTTGTTTTGATATGTAACTTTCATTGATGTGCTATTATTGGATGTGTAGTAATTCTTTGGTGTGTTTGTGTGAATGATTTTGGATGTATTTTTTGGGGAGAAGTTTGTATGGTAATTAGAACAAAAATTTGACTACTGTCCAATTGCTATAGATACTGTAATTGAATGCATAACGTATCAATGGTTAAAGTACATTTACACAAACGAAATTAAAATGTAAAGAAGTAAGGAAAACATAAATAAATATGTGAGGATCATTCCTAAATATGTGAGAATCCTTCCTAAATTTATTTTTTAGGACGGCTTCCTACATATTTAGGAATATGTTAGGAAGATAAAAGAGTGAAAAGTCCAAGTCCAATTAAGGTGTTATTTTTGAGATTTCATAATCCAAGGTTTCGTAATTACAGCCATGTTCGCTTACAAGACGGATAGCAGCCGCGATTAAACATTTTGCAGAGAAATAGTTAAAATTTAAGTTGCTTGGAGCTCAGATTGTGGAAAGTTGATCGCCGGTGTTTGTTCAGGAGACACAACGACATCTTTGGTTGTCGCTAGAAAATCCAGCGGCAGCGACACCTTTTGATTTCTTCTTCTTCTCAGCAACACCCAGCGACACCATGACTGCTCCACCATCCTCGTTTTGCTCTATTTTACTTGTTGTTGTATCTGCCGCTGACGCATCGACAAGTGAACGAACTTACATGTCGTGTTAAAAGAACACACCGGAATGGTAAGTTATTTGTCCAAGGTTAGCAAAAATATACAACCCAAACAGGCAAACATTTATAATACATTTTTGTTTTTTTTTTTGCTGAATTTAGTTGTAATACAAGATTAGAAAGACCTTAGTGTGTAGACATATTTTAGTTATATATTTGATTAGTCTATTTTTTCAGGTGTTAGGATTCATTTTTCTATGTTCTAATTAGTTTCGTTGCATAAAACCTACTGAAAAAAGAAAATTTCAAACCTGACTTTTCTAGGTTTGGAAACGTTCGGGCTGCTTCAAAAGCTCACCTATTTTTTTTATTTTTTGTCTTAAGCTCATAACTATTTTAACCAAAAATAATAATAAATGACACTAGTTTTTAAATTTTAACAATATAATGCAAAATAATTTGATCTGAACCGTGTATAACCGCACCGGTACAGATTCAAATGTCCGTTGACCATCTCATCAAAGCCAAATTAATTCGGTTCCTTTCTCAAAGTTTGGTTTAATTCCAATTCTCTGTCCCGGTTTAGCTTGGTTTGCCTTTTCGAAGTTCTCGAAGGTCAAAATCGGAATTTTCTATGTATAAAATCCAGCTACTGTAATTTCCAAAGTACCTTTTTTTTGGGCGTAAATGTAATTTTGCTTGTCTTTCTCCATTTATATACATCATCATCGTCATATTTGTACATCACACGCAGCAATAAAATTTTCATTGTTTTCTTTCTCTCTTCTTCGATCGCCGTCAAGCTCACCGAATCTCTGGTATGTTCTTCTCGATGATTCTCTTTCCCTTTTGTTCTTCCATAATTTCCGGAGAACTTAGTCCACGGTTTTCTTCTGGAATCTGAGAAAAATTCGCCGGAAAAAAATGGATTCGGTGATCGAATATTGAGATTTGTCGATAAACCCTCTTTGTTCGTTTGCTATGGTGGATGTTGATTGCTTGAGTTACCATGGATCGACTTTGTTTTGTAATCAATATTTTGGTTTTGGTGGATACTGTCACAGGTTTTTGAGTTTTTTTGGAGAAATGGTGTTTTTCCGCAGCGTATCGGCCTTTACTAGGCTGAGGTCTC